AAAATTAAAAGAAATTATAGAATTAAAGAATTTCTTGTTACTACGGTAATATTATTTCCCCCTTGAGAAGACTGAGCTCCAGTGAAAGATTAAATTTGTTCTAATATTTGTTGTTTAATTTTATGGTTGAGGTGGACTTTTTCTTCTATGAATTTCACGAATTCTGTTCTTTATATAACCGTGTTCTGTTTGATCAGTGGATTTCGTTGTGTATCATTTATTTGTTCTCCAAAAATAATATTCATCGAATTTCTCATTAGATTTTAACGTGTCTTACCATATATGTCCAAATAATAATATCGGTGTTACTTTAATTTCGATTAATTATATTATGTGTATATTATTTTGTCGATTGATGTTAATGTTACCCATTTGATATTACCGTTACCGTTACGTATTTTGTTGATTGATATTATCATTATTTTTCATTATAAATTATTATTATTATTTTTATCACTTAAATTTACGAATTTATAACAATGATTGATTCTAAATAATCTTTTTGTTCGTGGTATGGTTTTATTTGTTGTTCATTAATCATGCGTCGGAGTACTTCTCCTTTTTGGTTCTGTAATTTGTAAATGTTGTTGTGTTTATTTTTGTGGATGTAATACCATTCCATTTTCCATTGTGATCGAAATTTGTCATGATGAGTGATATTTTGTTTCATATCAAAGACTAGAACTTTGTCTCCAATATCAAAAGTATCCTTTTTACTGGTCTTCGCATCGTGTCGTTCTTTCACTTTTCTTTGTCATTCCTCTGTATTTTATCTGGCAAGTTGAAGAGATTTAGGTAATCGATCGATCAAGGTAAAAATTCTTTCCAATATTGCTTCTTCGTTTATTTCTGTTATTTCTAGATCATCAGTTGATAATTTGGTGTCTCGTCCATGTACTAAGAAGAATGGTTAATATCGTATTGTCGAATTTCATAATGTTCTGTAGACGAACAAAGCAGCAGAAATGTATTGATCCCAATCTTCATCCAGGATGATATAATATTTCTGTAAGACTCCACATAACATTCAGTTGAATCGTTCAATGATTCCATTTGTTTGAGGATGGTAGAGGGTAAAGAATTTATATTTCATTCCAAATTGGACTGTCAATTCTTTAATTATCTCTGCGATAAATTCAGTTCCATTGTCAGACTGTATTTCTTTCAGGCATCCATGATGACAGATGATCTCTTCGAAGATAAACTTTGTTATAGTTAATGCTTCTTTATTTGGGATGGCTCTTGCTTCAGGCCATCTGGTCATGTAATCAATAGCGGTGATGATATAATGATTGTTATTCTGAGTTATTTTACATGGTCCAATGAGATCAATTACAATTCTTTCGAATGGTTGTCCTATCTTAATTGGGTGGTGAGGTTGTTTGGTAATTCATCCTCTGGTTAATTAATAGGTTGGACATGACTTTACGAAACTCTTGATGTGCATTCACATTCTGTTCCACCAGTATTTAACTGCGATGCGATGATATATTCCTTCAAATCCAAAATGACCAGATAAGATATCTCCATGCATGTAAGTAATTATTACTTCAGTTTCATTGATCTTTAGTACTTTGAGAGGATTGTTGGGTTTTTTCTTTCAATTAATTTTATAGAGTTAATCATTTTTGATTATAAAGTATTTTGCCTGTTGTTTAAATTGTTCTTTTTTTTATTTTGTAGTATATCTGACAGAATATTGTTGAATATTTAAATAATTAATTAATTTTGCGTAAGTATTTAAATTCATAAATCTTTGTTGGTTGTTGTTTTAATTTTATTTTGAGTTGGATTATTGGTGTATGTGGGAGAGGATGTTGGCATTTTGATTATTCTTTCCAGATCTATAGGTAACAGTAAATTTATATTCTATTAGGTCCATCATCCAGTGGATGACACAAGGTCCAGGATTAGTTTGCTTGTAGAAAAGCCAGCAAAGGGTGTTATGATCAGTCACAATTTCGAATAGAGGATCTAGTAGATAGTGTCAAAACTGTCGTATGGTCCAGATAACAACTAAAGCTTCTTTCTCGGTAGTACTATAGCATTTTTCAGTAGATTTAAGAGAAATGCTTGCATATGATACTACGCGTTCTCTTTCTTCAGCATCTTTCTGTGCTAATACAGCACCTAATCCAACATTAGAGGTATCTGTATAGAGATAGAATTTCTTGGTGAAGTCAGGATAGATTAGTATTGGTGCAGTAGTCAATTGTTGTTTGAGTTTAGCAAAGACTTTTTCTTGAGCCATAGTTCATATGTAGATAATGTCATTCTTTAGCAATTTAAATAGGGGAGCGACGATTTGTAAAAATCCTTTAATGAATTTTTTATAATATCTAGCAAGTCCTAGAAATAATCAGAGTTGTTTAACCGTACGCGACTGGGGAAAGTCTCTTACTTTTTCAACCATAGTAGGATCAGGTGAGATTCCATCTTTATTAATAATATGTTCAAGGAAAGGTAATTCACTTCGAACAAAATTACATTCTTTCGATTCAATTTTAATCCAGCATTTTTGATTTTATGTAGAACTTTTCACAAATGTTTCAGGTGTTCTTTGAAATTGTTTGAGTAGATATTAATATCGTCGATGTATATCATGGTATGCTTCCAATTGTTCTCGGCTAGCATAATATCCATTGCGTGTTGAAAGGTAGCAGGTCCATTATATAATCCAAAAGGGAGAACATTGAATTTGAACAATTCATCTCTTGAAATAAAAGTAGTTGTGGCTTTGCTCGATTCATCCATGGGAATTTGCCAGTAGTCCATAAACAGATCCATTGAAGAGAATCACTTGGCTTCTCCGATGCTGTCAAGCATCTCATCTATTTGTGACAAAGAATAAGCGTCCTTTCTGGTTACTCTGTTTAATTTTCTGTAGTCCATGCATAATCTTTTCTTCTCATTTTTCTTTGTAACCACTATAATTGGTAATGACCAAGGGCTGTTCGACTGTCAGATAATACCAGCCTCAAGCATTTTTTTAATCTCTTCATGGATAAATTCTTGGTCGGGTATAGTTGCTTTATACATTCGTTGTCAGATTGGGGCTGCTTTTCTAGTTTTGATAATATGTTGAACCAGGTTGGTTCCTTGAAGTTGGCTGAAATTGATAGCGAAAAGATCTTGGAATTCGTTCAGCAAGTGATCTAATTGCTCTTGTTGTTGAGTTGTCAATATTTTGGTTTTAATTGGCAATTTTTCTTCATTAGTGTCCAGGAAGTACACCTCCAGAACTTGTTGATCGGTTGAACCAAAACTGCTAGTTTTTCGATTACTCTTGCCTAAGTTCATTCGATTATTTACTTGTTGGAGTTCTTCTACAGATACCAATTGTAATAAAACTGCCTGAGTGATTCGATCATTTGGTCTGATTGTATATGATTGTTCTGAAGAATTCGTCAGAATTACCCTGATATTTCCTGTATATCCAGCATCAATCATTCCTCCTCTAACTTCAATTTCTTTCTTGGCCAAGGAAGAACAGGACATTAGTTGGCACATTGTTCCTTCCAGTATTTTCATAGCAATGTATAGATTGATAACAATTGTTTGGCATAGTTTCAATTTGAGTTCTAGCTGTCCAGGATAGTAGAGATCAAATCTGGCATCAGTTGAATGAGCTTGTTGAGGTATGATTCCTCTTCCTTTATCATTATAAACTTTAATGGCATAATTCATGATCTTTACTTCCTGGGTATTGTTTTTCTCTTCATCATTCGAATAATATTTTTCTAAAATTTTCTTACAGGTATCGTAGGCGCTATCAGTATCAGAGTTGAATTCCATCGTCTGTACTTCTTTTTGGGCTTCCTGCAAATATTCAAATAATTCGGAGAAGATTTTCTGGATCTCCTGAATCTCCAAGACTGATGTTGACTGCACAGGTTTTAATCCCAAAACCTGGAATAATTGTTCAGTTATTCCAATTTGCTTTTGTTGATGTTTGCTTCAGATTTCTTGGATAAGTTCTTCAGCTTGAATAATTATCTGTTTCCACTCGTCTTTTTCTGATCCTTCCTCTTCTACTTTGTTTTCATTTTCTAAAGGCTCGACGATTTCCTTCACTTTTTCTTTCTCTTTATATCTTTCTTCGAAGTCCTCTTTCTTTTTTATGCATGGCTGTATGCAGTCAGCATAAAGATTGGTGTCACAAGGTATGAGACATTCGTTACATAGTTTGACATTGATGTAATTTAATTTTGCTAACTGCAATCTTCTTTCTGGTGTTAGTTATTGATAAATGGACTAGAAGATCTCGATGGCGGAAGCTTCCTCAGATTCGTCATACTCGATAAACTCTCTTTCATTTTTCACGTCATCTTTCTGAATGTATCAGGAGAGGATTGCTTTACCAATTTCATTACATTCATCATAGATGTCCAGTAGGATTTCTCGTTCATGAAGCTTTCGTATTGTTCTAGCGTTTTTACGCCATTCTTCTTGGTTGAACCAATATACACATTGATGTTCATAGGTACAGAAGTACCGCTTGTCATAACTACCGGTGATGTACATGTGTCTTGCTTTATCTCGATCTCCACAAACAGCGCAGGCTGGTAGATATAATTTGTACTGAGTGATGCACTCATCACAGACTATTTCCTTTTCCCTGTCTTTGGTAATGTACGCTTTATCATAATATTGATCAAAGTATTTACGGCACTCATAACATTGTTGAATTTGGTTTAGTGGAGTGATTATTAATTCAGCTTCTTCTCAGGTGAAAAACTTCTCTTGAGTTCGTTGAGCAACAAAATTTCACGTTTAACTTCTTCGGTCCAGTCTTTACTGGTCTTATACTTGGCTCAGTATGGTTTATATTGTTGTATCATGATCCAATCAGTCAAATCATTATAACATTGTTGACATCGATGGTTGTTGATATAGAGACGCTTTGCACACCAGCATTGTTTGTTTGGTCCTTTCCAATCGAAAGATCATCATTGTTCTGATATACTGCTACGGTTACTTTAAATAAATATTTCTTCACTATTAGTAAAAGAGTCATATGAATTGGGAGAGAGAAATAGACTAATAAAATTGGGCAGTGCAAAAATAAGTATCTAAGCCTGTGCCAATTTCGATAGAAATTGTTAACCAATTCTATCAAAGATAAAAAAAGGAGTTGGGAAAGTGTGTTCAAAGGGGTGATTAATAAAAAGGGGCTGCTAATTAAAAAAGGGTATTGATATTTCTATACTTGTAGTCATACGTTCTAGTGCTTTCAATACCAAAGAAAATGAATAACTAAAAGAAATATCACTTATTTAGAGTTGCGGTGCACAACTAT